ATAGATAAGTATAGGTGTGGGTTTATACATTGGTTGATTGTAGTTATAGAATTATATTCATTCTCTGTATCGGTTTATATCAACATCGTTCGCATATCCATTAGAATATATATAGGCTCACGACACGCGTAAATGATATTTTTTTTAAGAAATTAACTGTTCGCCGTAGGTAAGACTTCTCTGTAATGACCTTTATTTATTGAGATAAAAAAATTGACTTATTTTAAAATTGAAAAAATTCAATGTGATTGATATTTTTTTAATTAAAAATAATGGAGGAAAAAGGTTTAGAAGGTGGATTTCCGAGAACTTAAACGTTATACAATGATAATATTCTGAAGGTGAAAAAAGGATTTATCTTTAATTTGTAAACTCTCCTTCTAGAATAGTTTTAGAATCATGTTAATGAAGCAGGACTAAGGTCAATAATATCTGAAATTATCGCAAATAGCAAAAATAGATTTTTATATAACTATGCGCAAGTGATTTACTTCAAAGAATCTGATTAATATAAAAATATAGAAAACAAAGTACCCAGGTCCAACTCAAGTAACATTCATTTCGCTTTTCTAATGAGTTGAACGTTTTAAAAAATAAATTGACCACTTCAGTATAAACAGTAAAAAAAAAACGTCCATACACAAAATTATATATTTTTGGACATACTAAGGCTAACAAATTAAAAGATGCCAAGTTAAAGATACAGCATATACGCATACTCCTACACGTTTATTGCAATACTTTTTTTCCCCCCTATAATACATTTAATCTCGCTTTTCTTCCTTCTCTATCTATTCAGTTTATATGATAAAGAAGAGAAAGTAAAGAATGTTGAACACTCCCATAGAAGTAATGACTAAACTGTCATTCACTTTGTTTATTTTTTAAACTAAACATGTTTCTGCGCTCTCTCTGATTCATCGAATTATCATACACTATACAAATAGCATTCGTTCTCACTCTATATAGAATAAATAAATATATACATACCGATATTTATGTATGTATCTATATATATCCATAAATATAGACATATAGATATATTGATTCATTGGTTTATGGAATTTGTTAATATTTTTAGGATAATTCGCATGAGTTTTCACATTACATGGTTTGTGAAGATAAAGAAAGCTGAAGAGATTCTATTGACCAATCTGCCGATAAATCAGATTTGGAGGACGATGTAGACGTAAAGCTACTCTTACAAGGCGATAGGGAGTTCATCGAGGTATGGCGTTTACACGCATACCGTGAAGCACTCCCACCACAACCTTCGTATTCATCATCACTATTGGTAGTATCGGTGAACTCTGAATATTCCTCACAGAGCTCGCCGTTAGGTGGCTCTCTGTGATCGCCGCGCATCGGTGAGTATTGGTCCAGTTTATAAAGTATTTCCGCACCCCTCAGAATGCGTCCCGTTCGAATGCTCGCGCCCATGGCCTGCAAAATATCGAAATGGAGCAGCTCCTGCGCGCTTGGACGCCGATCCGCGTTAACCTCCAAACACGCCTTCACAAACGCATAAATCAGCGGATTCCCGCCCACGAGCGGCGACAGATCTGGCGTATCCATCAGCTCCGACAGGTATTTCATAATCCCCATCCCATGGCTCTGCTCAATGTGCGAGAAAGGTGGTAACCCCGTCGCCATCTCGAGCGCGATGCAGCCCACCGACCAGACATCGGCCTTATAATCGTAGCCAATCCGTTGTTGAACGTCCGCCATTAACACCTCCGGCGCCATATACTGGGGCGTTCCGAGCAATTTATAAAGTTTTTGCCCGGGCGCGAGCTGCTTGGCGGTGCCGAAATCCCCGATTTTGGTCTGCCCCCGGGTCCCCAAGAGGAGATTGGCGGTTTTCAGATCGCAGTGGACGTAGTGCTGGGCGTGGACGTAGGCGAGGCCGCGGCAGATCCCGCTAAGCCGCTGGGCGATCTCCGCAAAAGGCAGCCCCACGCCGGGGTTTGCCCGAATTCGGTCCCGCAGCGTCCCGCCCGGCGCGAGCTCCATGTACAACCGCAGCGTCGTATCGCTTTCCTTCTCGCAATAAAAGTACCGAATGATGTTCTCGTGGTGCAGGGAGGTCATCGCGAGGATCTCCTGGACGACCTCGTCCACCACGGTCCCCTCGTGAAGCTGCATCCGCTTCATCGCCATCTTTCCACTGGTCAGGGTATCCCGCACCTCATAGACGTCGCCGAAGGTGCCTTTCCCCAGCAGCCGCCCGATTTTATGCCGTCCGGCGGCGGCGTTGGTGAAGTTCGAGCGAAGCTGCTCGATTCGGTCCTCCTCCTCCCGCATTTCCATGACCATCTGCTCGGCCTCCTGCATCGCGATGTGGATCAGCGCGGCGGAGCCGAGCGCCGGGACCTCGATCACGGCATTGCGATCGAGCAGCCGCTGGACCCGCCCATCGCTGAAGTCCCGCCCGATCACGACGAGAACCATCCGGCTCGTGCGCTCGAGAAGATCCCAGAAAAGGTCCCCGCCATGGCGGTCGAGGTCGTCCTCGACGTCGAGGTCGAGCTGGGTGGGGTCGAGCAGGAGGATGTCCGCGGGGTGATCCGCGATGCGCCGGACGAGCTCGTCCAGACGCTGCAGGGGGATCACCGCGTGGTGGCGGGCCCAGAGAATCCGGCAGAGATGGTCCTGCCGGACGTGGTTGCCGTCGGCGACGAGGACGGTGAAGGAGCGCGCCCCGGCCCCCGCCTTCCCCTCCGGGACCGCGAGGAGCGGCAGCTCCACCCGCACGACATTCCCCCCG